AATTTCTTAGGATCTATTTCCATTTCCATTTCTTAGGATTTTTTCAATTCTGTTTGTCACTAGCAACGCAAAAAATTTGCAAGCAGAAATGCTAAATTCACACCAACAGTTCGTCCACGACGTAGATTCCCCTCCCAGCCATGCTTTTTTGGTATATGGTTGTGCTGCTACTGGAGCCGATTCCATAAATTACAGAGCGTGAGGCAGGTAGCACCCTGGATGGGATACCAGCCCATCAGAGGGTATAACTTCCCACTGTGAGCAATTTAGAGACACCAGTCCACCTAACCACATGTTTCTGTGCTGCATGAGGAGAAAACTCTTGCAAAGACTGGGAGAAGACGCACACTCCAGATGCAGAGAGACGATGGGTAGGAACTGAATCTGAAACGCTGGAGGCGCAATACCCAGAAGGGAAAAATATGAAAAAGCAAAGAGGTATTGAAAATATTGTGTTGGGATTTTGTGATGTATTAAACAATGAGTTTTGCTTTTAGGAACCTTGGTTGTATTGTAGTTAACAGGCAGTGCACCAAAGCATGCTGGGATATGTTTAGTCAGTCTAGTCCGAGTGCAGTAGAGAAGCACTTGCAAAAACATGGCTGTCTCATGTTATTTACTGGATAATACACCACAGATATAGTGCTGATTTCCTCGCAATTGCAATCTTCTTTTAAAAGCCTGAAGGTGAATTTAGAGCTTGTTGAATGATTTCCGTGGTCGTGTAGCATCAATGTTTGAAACAATTGACATCGTTTACAGTATACATTATAAACATATAATCGTACAATGTTTGTCATTAACATTTATACCACAGCACATGGGTGTTGATTATTTTCATGCAAGCATACAGGTAGTCCTGGCACCCTAATAAAAATTCTGTTATTGCATTTTAATATTTTATTAAACATGTTAATATAAAAACCTGGGTAACTTTTTACTCATGAATAAGTAGTTATTATTTTCTTTTATTTTCAAAACTTAAGCGCCTGTTTGTTAACGGTTTCTAAAGTAGCAGCAGACTGGCTGTTTCCTAGAAGTAGCCTGTCCAAATGTTCCACTCTTATAGGGACTATGCTTTTAAAAGCACACTGGAGCATTATTAAATGCTAACTGAAATTATTTTCTTCTGAAAAATCAACCGTGTCTAATTTATTATATTACTATTATTACTTTTTCTTCGTTAGCTGTGGTATAAGTGGGATAAACCACTTTGAGGTGTGCAGTTATACGAAAATAATAAGTTTATTTTGGTCAGTGGTCCTCCACTTCCTCATTGCACCAAGTTGTTGTTGATTATTTCTGTATAGCCTCGTCATGGATTATCCCCTACATATTAAAGCTGTCATGTCTTGTTCGTTGAAAGTGTTATGAATACAAGGCTTTAAGACATGTTAAGGTCTTCTTACATTCTGCTAATTCATTTTTTATGAATGCATTATAAATGCATTATGAAGGTGCACGTAATGTAAATCGTTACATTTTAAGCAAAGGTCAAAAAGGTCATGCTGCATTCTGCATTCAGTGCATATTCGTTTATCTTTTTATAACCATTTCTTTTAAGGAGACAGAGAGCGGAGCACAGGGCTATTCAGGTGTGTGCTAAGCGTTCGTTTGTAAAGTGGACTCTACCCACCCTCCAATAACAGACTGCCAGACGGAGCGACCGAAACTCACGCGCTGCTTTTCACTTTGTGAGTGAGCTGGTGCAAACAAAACAAGCTCCTATTCAGAAAGTTTGCCTAGATATATATTAACACTTTAAACTGAGCTGTTCCCTGCCAGCTAATGATTCGCTGCTGCGAGGCTTATGCTAACATGGACATCGGCCGTGTTTTCACAGTCTAACCACAACAAGCTGTCAGGACTGTACTTTTTCTGGCATCCACTTAATTTCCTGTATGCCCGATACGTTACACATTTGTGGATTTTCTTTCCTTGCAAATTTAACATTTAAGTTGGCACATAGTGTTGGGTATTTTTAGTGTTGGGAATTAAAGTCCTCCTACAATTTATTTCTGATGTAAAGATTAAAAAAAAAAGTAACAGTTGCTTTACATCCAAGGAAAACTACTGGATATTTTCAGGGTTATATATGTGCTGATATACTGTATTAGCCAATCTAAAATTGCAGTTGCAGTACAAACTGATGATAGTACTGGCCAGAAATGTTTGCTGCGCGACCAGTTTTCCTACTTTTTAACTAAGGTCCATAAGAAAGGGGGGGGGAAAAACTCACAAAGAGAATGTTTTGACTTTAGCAACTTCTCTGTTGTCATTTACTATTGCAAATAGATGATGATAATGATGATGATGATGATGATGATGATGATGGTGATTATTATTAATATACCATTTTATAATGACGCTGCATACTTTGTTCAAGATTAAAAGGCCCCTTTCTGGGACCTGAGCCATTAAAGTTATAAGACACAGCTGGGACGTTCTGGCATTCAAACCTGTAATTCATGGGATGATCACTCATGAGGCTTTAATGAAGATGTATAACATATATAGAGTTGGGTAATTCAGGTCCAGAGAGTAAAAGTCCAGACCAAGATTTTGTTTCAACCAACCAGCAGAGCATAAAGAGTCACAGTCACAGAGTATTCAACTGGTTGGTTGAAACAACACAAAACCCCAGTCTGGACTTTTACTCTCTGGACCGGAATTACCCAACTCTGTACGTATATATTATATTCATACATAAACATACACACATACATTATATTTGGCGTAATAGAAGGGGATGGCTGTACACCTGATCAGAACCAACAAATGTGGGGACATGCTTTGGTTTCAAAGCAGAACCTCTAGCAGGATAAGAGAGGTACTGTTTCTGAAGCAGGGGACTACACTCTGTACTGTGGAATAGCAGTAACGCAACAAGCGTATTGAATCTGCAGGTTCTCTCTTGGAAGTCTAGCCCACCCCTTGCCATTTTGTGGCGGGATGTTGTTTGGGAGTGTCTCTGAAGCGAATTCCAGAGAGCCAAGCTTTGGGATTGGCTAAAGAGGCCCAGGACGGCCCATGTGCCCCACCCATAAAGAAGGGCACCCTGCATAAGATTCAGAGAAAATTAAACTTTTTCTCCGAGCTTGAAGGATTGTGGGAGAGCACTTTGGAGTCTATTTTTTTCTTTCTCTCATAAAACCACAAGGTTTTTTTTTCCCACTTCCTCTCTCACCAAGGTTACACAAATCAAAACAGTGAAAAGACCGTAATACGCTACCTTACTGAGAATCCTGGAAACATGTGTATGCCACAGAGAGATGTTTTTAAAGGTATCTTTTCTTTTAACACTGCAACACTATTTTCAGTGAAATACCATTAGATCTGCCATCATGTGCAGGGATGAATCAGGAACCGGCACAAATGTATTTTAAGGTCAGATGTCTATGAGAAAAATTGAGATGGCGACTATGTATGCATGTTTAAAAATGATTTCTTTTCTTACTGTGACAAAAAGCAGACTTTCACATAAACACTATATATACAGACATTTCAAATATATAACAAAATCTGGGAGATTCACTGATGAAATAGGAAACCATATGAACACACTGCAAGGGATACAACTAAGTAATAGTGCCAATCCAAACTGCTTATTGTTTAAAAACAGGACTCCAGTCACACCTTTAATCACTACGAGTTACAAGTCATGGACCAAGATGGAATCAACACTAATGGAGGCCTCTGCAGAAAACACCTGAACATCGCTTAAAATAATAATAGAACAGTGACTCTTAACATTTTCACAGTGAATGGAGTATATTTGTTCACTTTCCAAACAGCTTATCTGAATGACAATCGCGGGTTTAAATGAGTACAGCGATTAAAAAGTTGGTTTTACATTTGTTGTTCCTGTGTTATCTTTTAACATTCTTTTGGGTGTAGTCTGATCACAAATCAACCTTCTCATCAAATAATACTTAAAATGTAAAGTAATAGATCCCAGTTACAATCCAACAGTGAACCTCCTGCTTATTTAAATTGAGTTTTATGTGGAATGCGTTTAGCTTAGTTTATTTTTCTCAACTACATTTTCCTTTTTAAATTCAACATTAACTCATCTAAACACATTTAAAAAAAAGGAAAAATGATTAAGTAAATGAAACACATTTAGACGATGGAGCAGGATGAACAAGCCTATACGCAAACCACATGACATGTATAACTAACGATGTCTAAAGTCAAAATACAAACAATATGAGATGTATATATAATGATATCCAACAATAAAACAACCATACTTCATCCACAGCTGTACGTCTCAAAACACCCGAAACCTTATGCGTGTTTTATTGCACCGGTCCTGCTATATGAATGAAAGCTCCAAGACACTGAAATACAGCCAGCGAGGGCAGCATCCCGCCCCCATCCCCGGTAGCTTTAATAAGGCGGCCGGAGCCATGGCTGCATACGCCGCTACAGTATATAGTCTCCGCTTAATCTGCATCGCACAATGACAGAAAGCGGAGCAGTTGCCAAGGCAGCTACATCGCTCCCCTCCCCCACCGGCTCTCTCTGTTCCCTCTATTATCAGCAGAGGTCGCATGGCTTTCTGCATGGAGAGGAAGAGTATAACTCCGGTCTGAATGCATGGATAAAACGCCCTACATGACAAAGCTGAGCGAGAGACTAAACGCAGCGGGAAAACAGGAGCAGGGACGAAAAGGGAATGAGATATATCACAGGACACGTTTAATTTCCATTAAAGGAAGCCAAAAAGTTAAGCATTCGTTGCAAATGTAACTTATTATTTTATGTGACACCGACGTTGCTCCTCTTTTTTTAAAACTTACCTATTTTTTCTTTTTAGTTTGTTTGCTTCTCTTTATTTTACAATATAAATATAAAAAAACACTGAGCATCACTTGAGATAGTTGATGCTGAACTTAGACCACAAACGGATGTGAGGAAAGGGTGCAGTGACAGACTCAACCCCTTTTTCTCTCCCTGTTTCTTTCTCTCTTTTTTTTTGTTCGGTTAAACAATAGACAGAGCGAGTCACAGACATCGAACCTGCGTTCATGCCGTCAGTCTTGCAGACTCTGAGATGGACGTGAGATTTTACCCTGCACCTCCTTCAAGCGTGGGTTCATGTTCTTTACCAACTGATCCAAGTTGCCTGAGCCCGTTGGACTATTACCACTGCAACAAGGTAATTAGGAGCTGCCGCGTCTGATTTCTTAATTATGAAACGTCAATGTCTTTTTTTTCATCTGTTTTTCTGCTCCGGCGCCGTCGCGGTCCGGTCCGTATGTCATGTTTCCCAGTTAAGCCTGCATGTATGGATAGTGCGGTTATTGAAACTGCAACTAAAGCCGACGATCGCCTTTCGCAGCGACGTATTGCCGCGGTGCTACTCAGCAGATGAGTTACCGCTTTCTCACTTCGTGCCGGCAGCCTGCAGGAAGCATCGCAGGAGGCGAGTTTCGCCCCAAATGAGACTGGCTGAAATTCCGAAACTTTGTTGCGTTTTTTTTCTTCCCGTCTGACAGGGAGAGTGTTTGTCTCGTCTTGTCTCTTAAGTTTTACCACTTCTAGATTAAGATACGATGTCTTGTAAGTCTATAAAAAAGAATGGAAAATCTCTCCAGGGGCGTACTATAAGTTTTGCATTGCATCATTAATGTATATTCATTGTGGTTCAACCATAAGGTAAATATTTGATGAGTAACTTTAAAATGAATCACTCCATTAACAGAATATCTCTATCGCCACTAATGAAAGATACATGCAGTGAATGTCTCTGTATACTTGCAAAAAGAGTAGAATTATTCAATGACTGGCAAAATCAGTCCTTAAAACCGGGGTCTTTTTTGACGCATCGTTATTTCTTTGAAACGAGGTGCAGCGTGGTGATTTTCCTGAAGCAGACAAGCTTTAAATGTTCAAAAATGAGTATCGGCGCTATGCGGGGTATTTACAGTAAATCGTCCAAAGGAATTCTTAATCTGAATGATCTCGATTAAAGAAATAGTTCAGTGTGATTCACGCCAGCCTACTATTACTGTATGCTGGGAATAGCTGTGAGTTTAAAGAGCAATGATTTATGGAAAGCCAATGCGCGATGCTTCATCTAGAAAATAAAAATATCAAAATGTAATATAATAAAAGGCAACCATTTTGCATACCCGCATGAAAAATGCATAATATACGTGCTTATAAAATTGTGGGCGCAGAGAAGATTGTCGTGTATGTTTTTTGTTTATTAATGCATTTGATTATTTGTACCATGCAGGAAGACATTGGTCTGGTCGCGCTAATGTTCTCTAGGTTTAACTGTTTATTGGAGAAACTTAAGCAGAACACGTGCGATCGGACTTTTCTTGTCTTCGCTCCCCTTACAGTTTAGATTGAAGCTACAGATGGAAAAGAGAGTTTCTATTATAGATTTTTTAAAAATACAGCAACAGGAAGTACAAGTGCGTACTTACTAGTTTGTGAGTGCTTTGCTACATTGTTAGTGCATCGTACAGTAAGAGTAATGTAATATTTAAAATGAGATTACCTCTTATCCGTATTGAATATTTGTGTCTGTTCGACCTATGGAATGTTTAATAATCGCACCCTTGTTGTTGAGAGACGGTTTAATATAGTTGGATGATGCAAATAAGACATGCTTGTTTAGACAGTAACTGCTTCTGTCAGACTTCGTTTCTTGCTATACACTCAGATTCACTGTGTTTTTACTGACTCTCAAGCACCGGACTTCGGATCGCTTTTAAAATCATTACCGTTGCCTTTATTTTGGTAATCGGGGGCAATGATATCTCCCAATGTTGGAATGAACAGTCAGTGAACAGTACTGTCACAGTCTTAAAATCCTGACGGTTTGTGTTTTTCCGTATCTGCAGTTCTTGGGAGGGGGGGGCGGCGGCAGTGGAACTGTTTTCGTATCCTACAATGTAAATTTTATCGGGTGCTGTGCATGGTGATCCGGGCAGCGAGTTCAATAAGTTCTGCAATTCTATTTTACTGGTAACTGTGTGCATAATTTGTGCCTGCAAATTAAAAATAAATAGAAATTAAGAGAAGGCTATATTATTTCTTTGTAGGCATGTTATTAATCATCAGTTAAACACATTTTTTGTATATTTTATTAAATTAGCTGTACTACTAACTGTGCAATAATTAGGTGTGAATCTGAGTCTCATTTGGGAATTTTGCCTGTTTTAGATTGTGTGCCAGTGTCCTGCTGTAGTATTATTCTAAAGAGATTACAGGAACCAAAGCAGGGCCGTGCAGAGGTCTTGTCTATGTTCTCTCCTTGGGCCAGGGTCCCTAAACATCATTAGCGTTGCTAGGTGAGCCATCATCTTGGACAGTCAGAGAGACAATGCTTTGGGTTTGTGTCTAGGCCCTGATCTGTGGGGCTGACAGGATGCAGATGTAAACAAAGCTGTAGGTGTGACTGAATGCAGATAAGCCGAAATTAAAATGTCTTCTGAGAGGCACTGTAAATACATTACATGCAGAGGATGCCTGAAATTCAGTGTCTGATTATACTCCCAGAGTGGATCCTTTTTTTAAAATGTTCAAAACCAAAAACATAGATAGAATATGAATATATAAATGAATGTGTGTGAATTTATCTGCTGAATAGTGAAATAATATTGCAGTCTCCCTGTAATTAATAATTCATCTTTGTTTAACATGGACATTGGAAAAACATTCTCATTCACGTCTGCACTCAAATTATTGCACATGAAAAGAAGTGGCCATTTTTTTAAGCATTACACTGCAGCCGAAAAGTGTGATTAAAAACCGGACTTAAAAATGCATTTCAAATGAAACATTTTCAGCATCTGTCTTCAGAGTGTAAAATGTTGAATAAATCCTACGACATTTATTCGATCACATAGGCTGAGGCTACACTCCCAGTGCCATGACAGGTAGGGTGTGTTCTAATTCTGGTCAATGCAAGAGAAAAATAATTTAAAAACAAGGAATTTTTTAAAGCAGGCGCACAAAACATACACAATGAAAAAGTACTTTTTTTTCAAACTTGTGTTGTTAACTGTAGTTTTGCAAACACCCTTGGGTAGCTTGCCAGTGACAACCACTACGGAAACTGCCTCGTAAAGGCGAACTGAAGAAACTGTACTCACACCTTTCAGTGTCAAACCTTCATATCTGTTTTGGTTGTAATGTGCTATTAGCAAACAAGTGATTTTCCCAGGAGGTGATTCAAGCTGTATCTACGTGTATATGCATAAATCTCAAATCTGTCCATGTGACTGAAGCAAGCATAAGTTTTTTTCAAACAATTTATTTTCTATAACTGATTTAGCTCATGTAAGGTGCACATACACAGTAATACATACAATAATAAATACTGTAAGCAGGAGTGAGCTACTAAGTACTGCAGGTAAGAACGACATTGGCAGTGTTGATGCAGGCAGATTATCAGCAGCCCCAGGAGATGTCAGAGTGGCTACGGTTGCTGTTTGGAGGTCTGTCAGCTTGTATATTTACACTCGCTTTACTTTCCTTGGCATATTTTGCGTAGCTATGTGCTTCTTGCGATAATGTCAAAGAATTAGGGTAGTCGAGCTTGTTTTGTTATTTTTAGGAATCAGATAAAGTGTGTCAGCCCGTAATAAAATTAGCTTTAGCACTTCTGAGAGGATGTCTGGCCGTATACCGAGCCTGTGCCGGCCTGATCTTCATTCTCATACAGACTCTCGACAGATTTTTTAGAAGCTTATTCCCACAAATATTTGGGCTTTTTTTTGGAAGGAATTAGCTACTACAAATATGCCATTCATGGGCAATGAGTGGCTATGTACTCAATGTTATGATGCGTGAACCAAACTGTAAACTGACTGTGAATACACAATTAGTCAAAGCTCACCAACCATTTATAGCAAATTAATCAGACTGTGAAATTGCAGTACATGTTAGCCCCTTCCTGTAGAAAACTAGGGTGATTTCAAGAAGTAATGGGGCCACATCCAAAGCCGGTTAGTTACGTAGGCACCAAATGTCACACACTTTGATGAACTGCTGATACATCTTAAGGTGACCGTGCCCTTATTCTCCCACCTGTTCAAAAGTTAAGATATCAGTGATGAGAAGCTGAACAACCCAAACAGTGCCATAATGTCAAAACAAGAATTTGCTCAAATATCTTGATTGAGCACTCAGTGCTCACAGTGTGATTTTAAATATGCCACTGGTGTTGACCTGGCAGGTGGAGGGGCCATGTTTACTTAGTGGGGGGGGGGGGGGTGCATTCACTATACGCCGCACGTCAGCGATCGTGGCCCCTCTGTTGCACGTGCACGCTTGACTGAAATGCTTGCATGTGCAATGCATTGCTTTTCAGTTCCAATCCATGACTTGGTTTCCTGTTTCCCTAAAATGTAGGCGATTTTTAATAATTGCAACCTTAGCAGATTACTTATAATGAATTAATTACAAATTACAAGCTCTCCAAGTCATTTGTATTTTGGAAAACCCGGCTTTGCATGCCATGGAAACTACAACAACATCATAATTACACCTTAAAAATATTAAGGATTAAGTAATTTTTTTGAAGTTTGCTTCTCTTCTTCCCTATGCATAGGTTAGGAAAATGTGCCCCCCCCCCTCCCCCCCAAACCATATGTATAGGTTTCTTGACAGCTGAAAACGTTGCATTGATTTCAGATGTACTCCTTATTTACACTTTTAGGGGGGAAAGGCATTGAATATCCAGTAATAGTGTCTGGTGTGAGTCCCAGAGAGAGCAGCATTGGGTGGTGATACAGATCCAGATGCTTAACATGACTGAATGAGCGCCACCTACAGTCTGGCAGGGCACACTACATGCCTGCTTTAAACTCCTGAGTCCGAGCCTTTTGGGGGATAATTGGATTACGTCAGTTACATGCAGCACGTTTACAGATGTGTGAATTCCATTCTCAGTGACAAGGACAAAGTGATTAATGAGGTTTCCACGTGGGACAGCCGCTTTTTTAAGCCTGAAAACACAGTCACATTACCTATTGAAAAGGAATCTTAACTAAATCCCAGGAAATGATTTTAGAGTGTACGCGTAATGCTGAACATACTTGAAGGTCAAACTAGGAATCGCTGATGAATTGTGCACTCTCCAAGAACGCAGAGTGAAAATCTAGGATATCTGATTTGGGTGCAAAGCTCTTGCAAGCT